AAAAAAAAAATATAAAAACGCCTAAAAGTAGAAAAAAAGTTACTAATTTGGGCCGGGTGCCACCTCCCCCTTGTTTTTTTTTCCCCCCTTTCTTTTTCCCCCCCCTCGCCAAAATTTTTCCCCCCCCCCCCCCCCCCCCCCCCCCCCCATTTGAGTAACATCCCTCTATCACGGATTAACAGGGTCCCGAGGGTGCTCCACGCAGTATCGAGATTTGACTGTACAAGCAATGCGACCAGCTTATGATTCAAAAGATAAACTGGGCTACGTGATGTACTGAATACAAAAAGCCATTTTCATTTTCTAATATGCAGGGTGTTTATTTAACATTGTAGTTCTTATCAGACAATGCGAATCTGCAAACACTTTTCATGAATAATCAATTTCTACTACGTTAATTGATCAACCAGCAAATGGTTTTTAAGCTAATTGTATTTGTATGCGTAAACTAAAGTTAATACTGATAGTCTGGAAAACGATTAATAATTAATAGAAGACCCGAAGTCGACGTTTGTGCCGAACAGCCAAGTCAGCCAGGACCTGTTTTATTTTATTTTATTTACGGAATAACGACAGATTGACGACTGCAATGATTTGGCAACAAATGTGTCTCTATGCCGTGACTGGGTTTTGTGAAAACAACTACGGTGATGTTAAATATTCAGGGAAAAATGGCCCCTTTGTTTATCACAAAAAAAACTGTTATCAACGTTCTCTTGATAACACACATTTCCGCTTATTTTAAAATTTGCCTTTGAAAATGGACATGAGCTGACGCCAAACTTTAATGAGTTTAGGAAACAAACCCTCCACTTTGATAAAAGGCTAATAACCTCACGTTTGTTTCAGTTGCGGCGATAGCCTGCCTATTCCTCCATGAAAAATGTTTAACATTTCCGTTCATACCGCTCGCAAACGTTGTCCTCCGTACAGCTTTTATTCCGGTAAAATGTGTTACCTGATTCAATAAAGTCTGACCAAAAAACCTTTCACAAATACCGCGATGTAGGGCTACACTCAAAACTCCTTGTGGGCACTGTTGACCGTTCTCCGCCCAGCGCAAAAACAGTTCATTTAAAAACAACCTTAGATGACAGGATATGACAGGCCATTCACTGAGTCATACAAAAAGAAGAAGATGCAGGGAACTAGGAAAAACACGAGGAATTTGAGGAACATGTGAGTCCCTAGCTGTATTTGGCTCATGTCATCGTTTGCAAACCTTGGAGTTTAGATCATTTCACATAAAAGCTACTGAGCGCCTCTGAGCGGTATTCGACTGTCATGCTTTTGATCACGGTTCTAGCTTTTTGAACTTAGTGGTAAAAATCTTCAAGTATAACCATTCAAATGCAGGCTACTGAGCAGTTTTACCTCGGCTGTGATACTGCATGCTTATTATGCTGTACAAATGGATTCTAGCTTTGAATTCTGTACACGAGATCCTCACTTAAACTACCAGAGGCTAAGAAATTTACCAACACAATACGTTTCTTCAGTCAAAAGCGTTCTTAAGACGAAACGTATCTTTATATGAAAATTTTACACAAGATTTTGCGTCAAAATTCTTCTCCATTTTGTATATTTTTCATTATTGACACAGCTGGCAAACATTTTTCCTTTTCTTCCAGGTTTTGTGACCAGTGAACGTGTGACAAACTAAATCTGGTGTTTTTCTTACATTTTAATTTTAACTGCTTTTGGCAGTGATATGCATCAAAAGGTTTAACCAAAATCACCTCCGGAGAGGGAAGTCATAGTAGATAGGTGACGACAGGTGACAATAGTTATAGTGGCTGTTAACCGTCCGACCAATCAGAGGGCGAGGCATCTCATTAAAATAAGAGGTAAAAGCAATGGTCGATTTACTATTCAATTCTACAAGCAACGTGCGTTTGCAACAGCTAAATCACACTTTCATGAAATGATGGACAAGTCGAATCGTCAGTTCCTTGTTAAAGCATTAAACAAGAAAAATTAAAAGTAACGCGTTATTCGACGTTTCGACGTTTCTAACATCATCATCAAGAATGAATTGTAACAAAGATGTCGTAACAGAAAAGCTTCGCGCCAATCGAGTCTAATTGCACGTTTGGCGATGGACAAGTCGAGTTTGAACCACTGCTCTTGTCACGCCACAATAAAATTGCCCGCGTAAACGATTTTGTCAGTTTTTTTTTTTTGACTGAGCAGGGTATTAAGAATTGATGCCCAGTCTTTCAATGTTTGTGACTGCTCCCTTGTATGTATGAAGTGTTGTATCGTATGTTTGGACTCGCTAAAATGACTAACCTCTGATTATTTCTTGGTATTGTGACTATTATCCATTGTGAACTGATTCTGCAGATCTTTGTATCTTTTAAGCTCCTGAAGGGAAACGGAAGGAACAAGAGCATCTAGCGCTTTCTGAAAATCTGCTTCAGTCACTTGTATTTCGCCGCAATCGTCGGGAAACGAATTTCCTAAACAGAGAAAGGACAGTCTTTAGCAAGACTGTGAGACACAGTTAAAACAGTCTAAAAAAGTGACGTGAAGATTAGGTTTTTTGCGATGAAAGAGAGGACAGAAAAACATTTCAAATTGTTGGTTTAAGCAATCACTCGTGACTATCCGGCCCGGGGGGGGGGGGCGTACTTCTGGGAATTCTTGGGGGGTTGTGCCGCCTGGTTCTCCAAATCCTGACCCTGACCCGTTTTCAGACCTGTCCTCTAGGAAATTATGTCATCATTACTTAGAGTAGAACGCCAACAAAAACGAATTCTTAAAATCCACTACGAATTCGCATATCTCTGTTTCCTTCTTATTCATTTGAAACTGAAAAAAGATGATAAATACTTTCAT